CATTTTTTGGGATTCAAACACAAAAATCGCAGTAAAAGACACATTTTTGAGAAAAAAAATACATTTTTTACGTGAAAAATTTTTTTGAACAACGACAGATAAAATACAGAGGCGAGCGATCGGCAACGTCACCGGAAACAACTGAAATCGAGAACCTGGCCTAAAAATTATATTTTTGAGACAAATATTAGATATTTTCCGGCTGATTTCTGATTTCGGTAGACCAAATTAGGATTTTTTACCCAGTTTTGATGTTAGAATTCGGAATTCATGAATTTTCATTGATTTTCGTTTCGTTTCCACAGATTTGACACCTGCAGAAAAATATTACAGCGAAAAACTAAAAGTAGATGACTTTCAGTCATAATTTTCAAAAGTTTCGACTAGCCAGTGCTCATTTTCATTCCTTGTCTGAAAAACCTTCCGAAAATTATTGGTTTCTCCACCTCCGCACTCTTTTCTACTTTAGAAACCACCGAAGATATGTACGGGTTGTGGTGGCCAAAGCGAACCTTGGTAAAGTGGTCTAGTGGTGTGTTTGCGTGCTCGGAAATCTGCAGACGCGGGTTCAAGTTCGGCCAGACCCAAATGTTCTGTTTTTGTGTACTTGAAAACTAATTTCATTTCGTAGTCTTTTTAACGATTTTGTACCATTATGTTTCCGACAAATCCGAAGAGTTTGAAAGAATTTGAATTTTTTTCAAATTTACAATGCTTCCTGTCCTGGCACATTTGAAATGTGGTTTTGGTTGAAAGTTCGTTCTGATAAATATCAAGTTTTCGACTTGTTTCCTATTGGCAATTTCAGTATAATAAGCTCCTTTAAAACAAACTTTAAAAAATCTATCAATCCATAAAACTATGAAAAAATGGTAATTTTCAAACAAATACAAACAAAAAAAAATAATTAAAATGGTGCAGTTTAGACCAAAATATCTTCCAGTCGACAACTACAGTATTTTTGATTGATGTACCCTAAGAACTTTTCAATGTATCCTGGGATCCTTTCCCTGATGTACCCTTAGAACCACCATGAGATGTACCCCTTGAACCTACCTCCCAGATGTACCCTAAGATCTGATCTACCCTCTGATCCAATGTACCCTAAGATCTCGATGTACCCTTTTCTGATGTACCCTTGGATACTGGGCCCAAAGCTGGAAAAAAGTGCGAAATTTTCGAGAAAATTTTTTTTTCGAAAATTTGCCATTTTTGTACAGTACTATGTATTGTAACAAATGAGGAAATGAGAAAAAAAATAATGTACCCAGGATATTCCTATTGGGATCGTATAGTAGACAACAACATTTCAGTAACATTCTAACATCATTGTCTAGTCGTGTTTCAAGGAACACAAGAACGATAACCAGACTTCCAACACGCGATTTCCAACTTGATTTCTTAAAATTAATTCAAGTACCCACTGTAGCTCTGATGTTGAAGTCGGGGCACCATTAACAGTGCGTACACAATTTAACTCCTCGAGGGGAGTATATGAACGAAATTCTGAGAAAGTTATTTCTTTCATGGTTATGCACATTTAAATGATGTTTTTGTCCAATTTCCGGTAACTTAATGTTGTGGTCTGTCTATCTGTTCCCGGAGGATATCATCGAATTTCCTTGTATTTCTGTATACCCCCTCATCAGAAAAACCGGGGCAAACGAGAAGCGAAAGCCATGACGGTAGAGGCAGATCTGGAGGAGCCGGAGGAGCCTTACTATTAAAAGCTGGAGGAGCCGGCGGAGGCGGAGGAGCCGGAGGAGCCGGAGGAGAAAACAGCCGGAGGAGAAAACCCAGAAACTCAAAAGAATCGTCCAGAATTATTGTGGTAAAATAGATAACAGTGAAGGGTCCCTGAATAAATGTGATCGGAATTGAATTCTGAAGAACCAGAGCGTAGAATAATTGTAATTGAAAACGTCGGAAACTTTTCGAGTTACCAGCTTGAACCATGATAGATTTAGTGGCTAGAAAACATTTTATGGCATAAAAGAATATGTATGTAGTGTAGTCAGAATCATATGTTTCTATAGGAAAAAAATAATACCTGCATGCGTCATTCTCCTATGTATGTATTTTCAATTTTTTTTGTTGAACTTTCTAAAAAAAGGTATTGAATTTAAACAAAAAGGGAGAAGTATAAAATTCAGAGAGAACAAAAAATGTATAGAAATCAAACAAAAGAAATCAAAAGATCAGTTTGGAACATCTTGAAAACTACTAACATTATAAAAGCGATTGGTTGTACTCATAAAAAATAACATTCCCTGGCCAAAATGAAAATGATTCTTGTCATCTTAGTTTTCTTGACGCTTACTGCTGAATTTTCGGCTCAGCCAGTGAGAGAAGGTAAGTGTTGTCATTTTTCCCCATTGTCCTGGGACAATGACAACCTGAAAGCGTTATAACCCAGAGTTCCCCGATTTTCTCCGAAGGGCGCTCGCGTCAGATTCGTTCGTTGCTCGAGAGTCTGTTTTTCTCTCCCCTTTCTTTTGACCGTTTACGGTCTCTTTCTTCTTCTAATTATTGTTTCAGGTTATTGCTTACGTTTGGCATTGAGTTGGTTGTTAGCTACAGTTTTGAGGCCGCAAGGTTTCCCCCCGATAGCTCCAAGGGGGGTTTTAGCCCTACACCTTTGCCTATTTTTCTGTATTGCTTCCTTTCCCAACTCATATGTCTTTGGCGTTTATTCAGATCCGTTTTCCTCTAATAAATTTGGATTTGAATAGATTGTGTACTGTCATCCACTTGCACCGCTTAGCTTACACCTTTGGGGGGTTTATTTGGGGTCTTTTCAGGTAACAAGTCTCTCTGGTTAGGACGTCGGACCGGTCTCGACTGAGCTCGGGTCCTCTGTCAACAGTAAGGGTTTATTTGATAGTTTACGAATTAAAAGTTAAAGGTATAAAGATGGAATATTTAGGTTCTGAAGGCCTCGTTAAAGCTGTTGAAGCTAGAAAAGACGATCATGATCTTGTACCGCCAGTCCTAATCGGCGCTGGACGTGGAGCAAATGGTGGAAATGGTGGACATAGTGGCAACGGAGGTCATGGTGGCAACGGAGGACATGGCGGAAACGGTGGTCATGGTGGGAATGGTGGCAATGGTGGCAATGGTGGCAATGGTGGCAATGGTGGTAATGGCGGCAATGGAGGAAATGGTGGAAATGGTGGCAACGGTGGACACGGCGGAAATGGTGGCAACGGCGGAAATGGTGGAAATGGTGGAAATGGTGGAAATGGTGGAAATGGAGGTCATGGAGGAAATGGTGGAAATGGCGGAAATAGTGGTCATGGCGGAAACGGCGGTCGTGGAGGAAGAAAATTTGCTGAAGACAAAGTGAACTTCTTATTTGAAGCGAAACAAAATGGAGGACGTGGTGGAGCCGGTGGATCCGGAGGAGCTGGTGGAGCTGGTGGAGCTGGTGGAGCTGGTGGAGCCGGTGGAGCCGGTGGAGCCGGTGGAGCTGGTGGAAGCGGAGGCAATGGTGGAAACGGAGGCAATACTGGGGATTGTGGAGAGTCAGGAAAACCTGGTGAGCCGGGAAAACCTGGAAGCAACGGCAAGGATGGTAGAGGCGGAGCTGGAGGAGCCGGAGGCGCTGGTGGAGCCGGTGGAGCTGGTGGAAACTGTAGAAATTGATTTGGACGCGTAAAATAACTGTATATTCTGTTTTTTTTTTTTAGCTTTTTGTCAAATGAATGTTTATTCTCGACAAACATGCGTTTTAGATTACAAAACTTTGAGTTGCACTGAAGTGATCGATGCAGGTTGTTGAGGTTTCACTTTGATCAGTTTGGCCCTTTTGAAGTAGCCTGAAAAAAATAGTTATCCTAATTATATTGCTCATTATCTCTCACTTATCAAAGTATCTCTGTACTGCTTGATAATGAAGATAGTGGGAAATGCGTCAGTGGCTAAGTACATAGTGATGCTCAGCGCCAAGAAATGTCCCAAAAATTCAAAAGAATCGTCCAGAATTATGGTGGTAAAATAGATAACAGTGAAGGGTCCCTGAATAAATGTGATCGGAATCAAGGTCTGAAGCATCAGCGCGTAGAATAATTGCCATTGAAGACGTCGAAAACTTTTCGAATGGCCAGCCTGGGTCATGAGCGATTTAGTAGCCAGGAAACATTTCATGGCGAAGAAGAACATGGCAAACTCGGAACTCATCTGAATTTCTCTTAAAAATCAGGGAGATGACGCGAAAACTGACTAGAATAGTAGTGGTCACCGAGACACCACTCATTGAATCCCAATTGATAATTTTTGTTCCGTCATCCAACACTGGATAGAATAGGGCACCAATAAAGCCGATGGTATCCAGATCTAGGTCACCAGAAAAGACGGATTCTCTTCTGGAAGTTCTTTCATGTTTCTTCTTTTTATTGACTTTGAAACGCCCCTTCTCATTAGAGCGCCATTGCCTACTGAACCATAGGCTACATTACAGCCGCTCATAGAAGCCCACCCAAACCGTGAACTTTGAGCTCAATTATCTCGATTTCTGTGAGAGATGTCAAAAATGTGTCAACTGATAACATATTGGTGATATTATGATAAGTAATTCATCTGTTGACAGAATTGTGATATCTTTTGCAAGAATCGGTTTGAGCGGGCTTCTATCAGATGAAATACGGTAAAATCACTAGTGTGTTCACTCACATCAAAACTGTCTTCACATATGGATTTAGCGGCATAAAAATCCCAAGTGCTACAGACCAAATACACGCAAAAACCAATGGAGATCCCATCCAGAAAATAATGTTCTTGAAACTGCTCTCTGTCCAATCTTTGTTCCTAAATAACACTCTCATTTGGATACCAATAGAACGGGTTTGCTTAGTAATCCTTACCCTTTCAAAACTTGATATCTATATGCAAATTGGAAGCCGAAAATTCCAAGGGACACTGCGAACGATCCGCAGAAGAGTACTGTAATTTAGAATTCATTGGATCAACTATGTAGAAGTAGAAGACCCTTACAATCAGCAGACTGGATCCAGCCTTGTGGTATGATAGTTTTCCTGGGGTCAACCATAACGAAAAATGATGAGCCTTTAGTGAAAAAATCCTTAAAAACTCTAAACATGTTAAGCTTACAAATAAATATTTCTTACCGGAATAGTAAGAAGCTCAACGCATCCGAAAAATATTTCAAAACAGGCGATATAGATCATCATGTACTTGTAGAGACCCAAATCTTTTGGAGACTTGAAAATAATCAATGGAACGAGAAGAGCGTTCACTGTCATTCCGAAACATGTGCATCCTTTTTGGATTTGATTGAAAATTGGGAGCCACGTGTAGAGCGTCATTATGAGGGACTGGGGTGGCTGTGAGGTAATGAGGGAGGCGTACATGAAAACATGTGAAGATGTCCTCCGGGAATTGATGAACAGAAAACAGAATTGAGGTTACAGGAAAATAAAAATTTAAAAAAAAATTTTTTTTTAATTAAAAATAAAAATAAAATTTTAAAAAAATTAAAAATAAAAATAAAATTTTAAAAAATTAAAAATAAAAATAAAATAAAAATTGTAATCTAGGTCATGACCTAAAACCCAAATCTAGGTCACGACATAAAAATCCAAATCTAGGTCATGATCTGAAAACTAAGATCTAGGTCATGAGCAGTGTGCTTTTCGAAAAAAAATTTCTCGAGAAATGCCTTTTTTTCTCGAGAAATACCCCTTTCTTTTTCTTCTCGAGAAATACCCCTTTCTCGAGAAATGCCTTTTGAAAGGGTGGCGGGCATTAGTAGTGTTCAAAATGAAATCGTCTCGAAAAATTTTTCGAAAATTTCTCAAAAAATTTCTCGAAAAATTCCTCGAGAAATTCCTCGAAAAATTTCGAGCAATTTTCGAGGAATTCCTCGAGGAATTTTTGGAGAAATTCCTCGAAAAATGTCTCGAAGTCGTCTCGAAAGGACATACTGGTCATGACCTAGCAATCTAAAAAATTAAGTCATGGCCTAGAAAATCCAAAAATTAGGTCATGACCTAGAAAATCGAAAAAATAGGCCATGACCAAGAAATCCAAAAAATTAGGTTTTGTCAGAAATTAAGAAATTCAGAAATTCAGAAATTCAGAAATTCAGAAATTCAGAAATTCAGAAATTCAAAATTTTCAATTTTCCAGGAAAACCGAGCGGTCTCCGAATTTGCAATTTCCCAGAACTTGGACACTTTTTGGATTGGCGCTTTTTGTTTCTCCAATCAAACGTCTTCCTGTTATTCTGACGACTATTCGGGACCACTGAGTTACAGTAATTTCCAAAAGGGCTACCCATTAATTGAAAACCCATCAAATGGTTGTGTCAGTATGTTAACCAAAGGGGGTCAGGCTGGAAAATGGATCAATTCGGATTGCCAAAAGTCACTTCCTTACATTTGTGAGGTCCCCCGTACTTTTGAAAGTAAGTTTGAATTTTCGAATTTTTGAATTTTTGACAAAATTAAACAAAGTATCAAATTTTCAATTTTCCAACAGACCCCGCCTACCCAAACTGTCAAAAAACATTTAATGGATTCTGCTATCTCCATGACCGCGGCCCCATGGACTACGCCGAATCCTATTGCCAACAAAATAATGGTACCGTATTGTCAACTCAGTCCCAAATTGAGAATACATTTGTTCAATACCACCTGCTTCCCGAATGGATAATGCTTGGCGCCAAAGAAGTGTTCAAAAATTCCTACGCATGGGCCGATGGTACCATATGGGGAACGTTCGATAATCGGGACCCACTGGATCGCTCACTGGAAACCTTGGACTGCCTTGTCATGTACAAATCGAGTGGTCTCTGGTAAAGAGCGGATTGCTCAGACAGAAACGATTTTTTTGTACAATACCATTGGGACCCAAAGTGGACAATTCGAAGTGCAACTCAACAATGTTAATGGCTCCAAATGAAATTTAATCGGCTGGTGGACCATGTAAATGGCAATTAGTCACTCCTGGACCCTATCTGATCATTATTTATTTTGTTGAAATGCAAAATGGGACTACTGTAAAACTGTACGATGAGAATATGCAGCTGAGCCGGGAAATTAAGCAAAGTGGAGTTTATTTCGATGCGAAGACCAATATTCTGAATGTGACACATGATGGAGTCGGAAGTTTCAAAGCGGTGGTCAAGGCGTAGACCTACCATAATTGATTCGTTATTTTTTTTGGTATTAAGTGAATAATTTCAGTTTACTTTTTGAATTTTCGCTATTTTCATTGTTTTTGTGTCTGATGTTCAGAAGAAGACGTTGAAATCGTTCGGAGTAGGTTTTTTCTAGAACAGGGTTTCTTATCAATATCAGCGAAAAAGCGCATCAAACTTCAGTCAGGAACAATGATTTCAGGTCTTTCAAAGTTTAGGATCCAAAAATCCTTGTTTTCTGGGATCCCACAGTTTCTGACTTCAGAATGAGGTGTTAAGATGGTCCTGGTATTTCGAGATTAAGATTTTCTGAATTAAAAACGATTTGTTATCAACATCAGTAAAAAACCGCACCAAATTTCAGCTAGAAGCAATAGTTTTTGGTCCCTCAAAGTTTATGACCCAAATCGCCTACTTTTTAGGAGTTCCGAATAAAGTTTGATGGATAAAATAGTCCGAAAGTTCATAATTTCGAAAATTCCAAAACCCACAAAACACAAATTTTTGTTCAGGAACATTTCCGTTTCTTATCAGTGAAGATTACTGAAATTTCGCATCATTCTACATCTTTTTTTCTGAAATGTTTGTATAAATAAATTTTCAACATAAAAAAAAAATTAAAAGTGGAAAAAAAAATCAAAAAATCAATCACAATTTCAATCGTACCCTTTAAAATTTGTAAATATCGTTAAACAATTAGATAGAGCTGAACTTATTTATCGAAAAGTTGTGAAAATTTTGAAAATCAAGCACTATAGGTCTGCGCCTTGACCACCGCTTTGAAACTTCCGACTCCATCATGTGCCACATTCAGAATATTGGTCTTCGCATCGAAATGAACTCCACTTTGCTTAATTTCCTGGCTCAGCTGCATATTCTCATCGTACAGCTCTACAGTAGTCCCATTTGCCATATCAACAAAGTATATACTGATTGGATAGGCTCCAGGAGTGACCAATTGCCATTTACATGGTCCACCTGCCGATGAAATTTCCGTTGGAACCATTAACATTGTCGAGTTGCATTTCGAATCGTCCACTTTGGGTCCTAATGGAATTTTACAATAAAAATCCTGCATTGATGAGCAATTTGCCCTTTGCCAGAGACCGTTTAAACCGGATATCGTGAGGCAGTCCAAGGTGTCCGAGTAGTAATCCAGTGGGTCCCGATTATCAAAAGTCCCCCATACGGTACCATCCAACCAGACGTAGGTATTTTTCGCGACTTTTTTGGCGCCAAGCATTTTCCAATAGATGGGAAGGCGGAATTGAGCAAATGTGTTTTCCATTTGTGATTGGATTGACATTACGGTGCCATTATTTTGTTGGCAATAGGATTCGGCGTATTCCATGGGGCCGCGGTCATGGAGATAGCAGTATCCATTAAATGATGGATAACAGGTTGGGATGGAGTCTGTGCAAAAAAATTACGGATTTTTATCAATTTTTTGTACGGTTTACCATGCTGGCCTAGAATACGCCACTTTTAAAAGTTAGGCCGTCACGCTATTTACCTGGTGTGTTTCCTAGCTCATTTTAACGTAATGACCTAACTTTTTCTAATTGGGTTTCTAGGCCACCATGGTAAACTAGCTTAGTAATGGCCAAACATGCATTTCCTGTGTTTTTAGAGTATTTCAACATGGTGGCCTAACTTTTGCAAGTTTGGCTTTCTAGGCCACCAATTTTTATGAACTGAAAATGGCCTGATATTTTTCCGATGTGTTTTCTAGACCACCACTTCAAAAAGTCCTAATATATACACATGTCAATCGATTTCCAGGTCAATTTAACGTGATGGCCTAGAAAACGCAACTTGCAAAAGTTAGGCCACCATTTCAAAAATTCCAGAAAAAGAGAAAAAAATAATTCCAAATGAATAAACTTACTTTCAAAAGTACGGGGGACCTCACAAATGTAAGGAAGTGACTTTTGGCAATCCGAATTGATCCATTTTCCAGCCTGACCCCCTTTGGTTAACATACTGACACAACCATTTGATGGGTTTTCAATTAATGGGTAGCCCTTTTGGAAATTACTGTAACTCAGTGGTCCCGAATAGTCGTCAGAATAACAGGAAGACGTTTGATTGGAGAAACAAAAAGCGCCAATCCAAAAAGTGTCCAAGTTCTGGGAAATTGCAAATTCGGAGACCGCTCGGTTTTCCTGGAAAATTGAAAATTTTGAATTTCTGAATTTCTGAATTTCTGAATTTCTGAATTTCTGAATTTCTGAATTTCTGAATTTCTGAATATCTGAATTTCTGAATTTCTGAATTTCCGAATTTCTAAATTTTTTAATTTCTAAATTTTTTAATTTCTGAATTTCTGAATTTCTGAATTTCTGAATTTCTGAATTTCTGAATTTCTGAATTTCTGAATTTCTGAATTTCTGAATTTCTGAATTTCTGAATTTCTGAATTTCTGAATTTCTGAATTTCTGAATTTCTGAATTTCTGAATTTCTGAATTTCTGAATTTCTGAATTTCTGAATTTCTGAATTTCCGAATTTCTGAATTTTTGAATTTCTGAATTTTTGAATTTTGGAATTTCTGAATTTTGGAATTTCTGAATTTTGGAATTTCTGAATTTTCGAATTTTTGAACTTCAAAAATTTTTTGAACTCACAATTGCATTATGAATGGTGACCAACGTTCCTCCATACCTCGTTACGCATTTTGAGTGCTCAGCGTAAGAATGTGTAACTTCCTCTTGGAATACATACAAACATTTGTCCAAAACTAGAGTCCCTCCATCTCTACATGTCCGATTTTGTGATTTCACAAAACTGATATTCAAAAATATCAAAAAAATCAAGACAAGTTTCATGGACCTGAAAACTCAAGTTTTTATGGTTTTTTAGAATTGAATTGATATAAAAATATCAAAATTTAAAGAAACTACAAAAAAGAGTTGTGTACACATATTTATACAAAATGTTCAAAGCAAAAAATTGATCTCAAGCTACATGTAGCCAACATCGTCACTGATAAGAAACGGAAAAATCCGGCACGAGGGAAATTAACGGAAAAGAAGTATCAAAAAATTAAAAATTACGTTTTTTTCAAATAAATTTTAGAAAAATTCAGAGAGGTTAAAATGTGTTTTCGAAATTTCAAGGATCACAAAATACTGTTCCTGGGCAAAATTTTATGACTTGTATGCTTTTGAATTTTCGGACTTTCCCAAATTTTGAGGGACCTAAAATTTTCGTTCGTGGCTGAAATTTGATGCGGTATTTTGTTAATTTAGATGAACAATTTTTTTGATTCAGAAAAATATAATCCCAAATATCTAGCACCATTTAAACATCTTATTCTGAACATCAAAAGTCCAGACATACTTGAAAATGTGCATTTTAACCCATAAACTTTGAACTAGGGTTTCCATTTGGGGGGCGATTCACCCGCCCGCACCCACCAGGGGGGCTCACCCCCCGCGGCCCCCCGTTGACCCCCCGGGAATATTTACGTGAGGAAAATATTATCTTTTTTGTAGTTTTTTGATTTGAGAAACTCAGTTTTTCTTGGAAAATACGTGATTATCTTTTAAAATTTTATTAAAATTCACACGCATTTAATTGCGGGGGGCCGCGGGGGGCCGTGGATTGGAGCCCCCCGGGTGGGTAGCGGGTAGCCCGCATCTTCACCCGCCCAAATGGAAACCCTACTTTGAACGACCTGAAATCATTGTTCCTGATTGGAATTTGATGCGCTTTTTGTTTATATTGATAAGAAACCAGTTTTAAAACAGAAAAACTTACTCTCGAGTTTTGGTGAAGGACTCGATATGAAAAAGTGAAAATTCAAAAAGTAAACTGAAACTGTTCATTGAAAATCAAAGCAAAATGAATTTAACTTAATACCGAAAAAAAATTAACGAATCATGGTTGGTCTGCGCCTTGACCACCGCTTTAAAACTTCCAACTCCATCATGTGTCACATTCAGAATATTGGTCTTCAAAATAAACTCTTAGATCGTCCCTTATTTAGATCGTCCCTTACTTAGATCCTTCTTTACTTAGATCGTCCCTTTCTCAGATCGGCCTCGTGAGGGGCATTTTCAAAGTCTTTAATATCCTACCCTATGAGTCTTATTCTATCTGTCAATAAACAAATTACAAATGAAAATCATGCCCTTCTGTGCAATCCGCTCTTTACCAGAGACCACTAGATTTTTACATGACAAGGCAGTCCGAGGTTTCCAGTGAACCATCCAGTGTGTCCCGATTATCGAACGTTCCCGAATCTAGACGATTCTCTAGCATCTCGATGTAATCATTGAATTTCGATTGTTAATTTATGAAATGTGAAAATTGGACAGCTGAAAAAATTCATGAGAAAAAAACCAGATGGCAAAAAAGTCACATTTTCGCAGTTTTTTTTTCACACAAAAAAAAATGAACGATACCTCTTCAAAATCTGAATTTGAGCAGACAGACCTCAGACAAGAATAAAGTTCCCGCCGGGGGTTAAGGGAAGTTCCTGCCGCGGGGCAGCGGCAGGGACTTTTTTTTAGCTTGCCGGCATGGACTTTCACGCCGGCAGGTAAATGCTTTCCGTTCTTTTCCCTCCCTCTTCCAGGGCCTTTTCCATGAAAATCAAATGAGAATATTAACAAAATATAAGTTTTTATTATCAAAAGAAATTATTTTTATCTAACAACAATGGGGGAGTAACGAATGGGGCAGAAATAAGTGTTTTCATCAAACTGGATTGATAGGAAAGGAGATAAAACATCAGAAGAGGGGATCAATGTGAGACCAACTAGGTTAGTGCATTTAACAATAAGAGAGTCACAATTATTGTCAGCAAAAAGTTTAATTGACCTAGCCAAACGTTGCGTGTTCCGAGCTAACTTTGAAAAATCAAGTCTTAGAGCAGCTGCTGATCCATATTCTTCTATGAGCACGTAGCTCTGGCCTCCTCGAATCATGAATAAGCATACAGATCCGAATCCTCTAGTATTTCTCCTTTTTCGAAATTTCATCAAATGCATTTGACTCTTCTGCGGACCAGGATGCGAAGATGATGTAGACTGGAACGGCTGATTTTGCACAAGAGCTCGATAACTGGAAAAAGATTCCAAAGTCAACGAACAAAAAATTCAGTGGAAAACATACTAAACTGACGATGAATCTTTGATGAATTCGTTCCATTCGGGGCTCCGCATTCGAATTTCTGCTGCTGACCAAAATTTGAACATGATTGTCCTTTCGAGAGAAGGCAACTCTGAAATTGTTTGAATGAAATTAAACTTTTCTAAAAGTACAAACTCACAAATCGCGAATATCCATACACTCTAGAGCATTTTGAAGAACCGCGATAGGAAAGGAGAGAATACGAATAGGCATTAGTTGGGAAGGCAAACGGCAGAATAGGATACAGAATGGATAAGGGAATGTGGGACGATCTGCCTGTCTATCCCTGCCGATCCGCCCCCCTCTTCACCTCTCATTCCGTCTCATTCTATTTGTCCAACTCATGCCTATTCGTATTCTTTTCCTTCCTCTCAGGGATATTTCGTATGCTCTCAGGTGTATGGGTATTGGCGAATTGTAAGTTTGCTCTTTTTAACAATTAAATTTCATTCAAAAAATTTACAGAGTCGCTTTCTCTCTATGCTCGAACCGAACCAAAAATCTTGTGAAACCTTTGCATAAAAAACGTGGAAATATTTTTGCTGAAGTACGTGAAAGTGGCATTAGCTTAGATATAAGGCTATGGACTTATCAAGGATATCAAAGTCTCGTCCTTCTGCTTAACTCTTCCAGTTCTTTGGTCAAATTAGAACAAGGAAACAAATGTTGGAGGAAACAAGGATTCACTCAGAGCGATTGGGTTGCTCATTTTATGAACATTTTCGATAAATATGAGATTCAAAAGTTGCAAATCAATAATGCCAGCCTATGTCACCTGGATACTGTCAAACAAATTATTCCGAAATGCCAAATAATTCTCATCAGGGAACAATGTTCCGCAGAGCTCACAAAAACGGCGTTCTTGAAATTAGCACCTATTGCTAAGAAGGTACAAATCAACAACAACCCATTTGACAGTGAGAATGATATCTCCGAACTTTTAACACTAAATTTGAAATCTGTAAGTTTCATCGCATCGCAAAACTCATTTGAGCTAAAATTGGATGATTTATTACTCTCTAACATTATCAATCTATATATCACAACTGTAAATATCACTGGAAAAGAATTGAAAAGATTTCTGAAAGTATGGATAAAGAGCAGTCATAGATTCTACCGGCCGAAATTCATAAAACTCCGGTTAAGCGATGAAATGGAAATAAGTCATGTAGAAGTTCTGAAAGGAATCAAATATGAAATCGTTCGGTGTAATACTTGTGCATTCCGATTGAAACGTTCAGATGGAAAGGAGTTGACGGTGTTTTTTATCACAAGACAACTTATCGATTTTACATTTGAATAATTATTTGTTCTGTATTTTTTGCTACATTTGAATAAACACGTTAATCCTTACAATTAACTGTCAACCTCTGTCAGATTTTTGGGTTATTCTCACCCATTCATTGTCTCTGTAGTCTTGGTGACCCTCTCCTTGGAGCAAATTTTTACAGGTCAAAAAAATCGGGACCGAACTCTCTGAACTACCCTGCAATTGTCTTATGTGAATCCCAACCTGATAACATCTGTAATTTCTCGGGTTTTTTCTCTTAATTCTCTCTTAATTGCCGTTGATTCCGTTGTATGTCTCCCATCTGCTCACCTATCTGACCCTTCTCCCTCAAGCCACCACCTTCCTCTCTGTCCTCCATTCTGTCCTTTTTTTTCCCAATAGGGTTTGTCCCCTCTCCCAGCCCACCATCTTTCATCATTCTTTCTGTATTCCAGTGTGCATTCTATCTGTCCAACTCATGCCAATACGTATTCTTTCTCTTCCTGTCAAAGATCTTCATAGTGCTGAAGTTAACAAAGGAAATGGACCGCGAAGAAATTTTAAGAGGGATCAAATATCAAACTGTGAAGCATGATTGCCTATTGAAACGTAAAGATGGAAAGGAGATGTTGCTTTGGATTGGAACCGTATCTGTTCATTTCGAATTTCGAGGCTGATTCAAGCCTTCCTTTGAATTATTATTTTTATTGTGTTCTTTGCAAGAAAGCTTAAATAAATTTAGTCATTTGTGTCCCTTCAAGGATCTCATGTCTATTCAAAGAATTTTTGCGCCGTTTACAGCCTCTAGGATCTAATACGGTAGGTTTCTTAAATAATAACCATGAGCGTACTGGGAAAATGTTGCTTAACGCTAGAAGTTCTCTGAGTATAACACAACAATGATTACTTTTATCGATTTTGACCGAGCTAGTCTCGTTTCTTGGGAGAAGTATTACAAAATATCAAAATGGCGGAGAATATTTACGTTAAGATGGTTGGTAAAAATCGTTCTCATTTTTGATGACCTCTTTGGGAGAAGTTAGCTACCCTAGAGCACACTTGCACACAGTCCTCTGCCATTTTGTCATTCCAACAGGTTCCTCATAATTACCGTAGAGTTTCTTTTCTACTAATCTGTCATTTATTCATTCTCATCTGACAGGACTAGTCTGATTCTGGGGTCATTCTCACCCATTTTTTGACCATGTAACCTTGATAGCCTTTCCCCGGAGGCAATTAGCTACCGTCTCACTAATCCATCCCTTCTCTCGATCCAGCTGGGGGAATTTAGTTGGCGTTCACCTGTCCAAACGCTCTCTGAACCCCGCCATCAATAACCGACAAATCCTTCAAGGCACGAAAACAACCAAGTGTCTAGCTGTTCTAGAAGCCGAGATACGGTCATTTGAAGTTTTCGATAGACGCAGACAGTTAGAGTGTTTCGTTGTCTGCGTCTCACCGCTTAAACTTTGAATGGCTGTATCTCGGCTTCTAGGACAGCTAGAAAGGGGATTTTTGAACCATTTTGGAGTATTTGCTCTGTATTTTATTTTTGAAGTTTTTCAAAATTGGTTCCTTCTTTTCTGAAAGACCAATTATTTCTGTTTCGAAATCAATTAACGATATCCCTGAAGCACATTTGCATACTCCTTGCGATTCCACTATGCATTATATTCACAGAAAGTTATCGAGTTGGAAGAATACCAAAATCTTGGAAGGAGGCGATTGTTATGCCGCTTCATAAGAAAGGCTCCCGCTCCGATCCTTTAAATTATAGACCAATCTCTTTAACATCCAATATATGCAAGATTATGGAGAAGTTGATACGAAAACATCTAGTCCAATACTTATCCGAAAATAATCTATTATCAGAAAAACAATTCGGGTTCCTTAATCAGAGAAGTACAATTTCCCAACTGATCGCCTACCAGAACAAGCTTGTTTTCTATTCTTTAAATGGGTTAGATACCCATAGCGTCTATATTGATTTCCAGAGGGCCTTCGATACAGTGCCGATAAACAAATTGATTCATAAGTTGGAAAGCTTTGGGATATCTCCCAAACTAAGAAATTGGCTTCATTCATTTGTCACGGACAGAAAATTTCAAGTCAAAATCAATGATATACTATCGAAAGAGAGGCGCGTATTGTCCGGAGTCCCGCAGGGCTCTGTTCTTGGGCCTACCCTCTTCTTGTTATATATTAATTGTATGGGTGACAAATTTCAAAGTGACTATCTACTGTTTGCAGATGACTTGAAAATTTATGATACGAATGATAGATTGATTGATGCAGATTTAATTGAATTGGAGAATTGGTGCTCGAAGTGGAAATGAAAGCGGCTCCTAAAAAGTGCGAATACATCAAATTCAATGCAACAAGAAAATATGCCAACTCCAATGTTATGAATCCCAAATTAAATCAAGCTTTGATTCCCCCTGTGGAAAATGTGCGTGATCTTGGGATCTACTTTTCCAGTAACTTGAGTTTCCATTATCATTATTCGTTGATTATTCGGAAATCACATCAGAGGATCAACATGTTCTTTTCCATTCTAAAAAACGCATCGTGGAGTGTTTTTATAAAATGCTATACAATTTACATACGCCCTTTACTCGAATATGGAACGATAGTCACTTCTCCAATCCTAAAAGATCATATTATAAAATTGGAATCGGTGCAAAAGTCATTTGTTTTCAGAATTTTCAAAAAATTCAGGATGGCATACACTTCATACTTTGAAGCACTGGAAGAATGTCAGCTAAGTTCCTTGGAGTATCGCAGGCTCTATAATGATTTGGTCTACACGTATAAAATTATTGTTTCCAAAGAAATTATCATGGAGGTTCCAATTTTTGAAATATTTAATCATGCTGGATCATTGCGACGTCACAAATACTATCTCAAATCACTTATCAAAAACTCAACAAAAATATCTTCTCAATTTCTCTCTAATAGAGTAATCAGATGTTGGAACTCTTTACCCGCCAAAGTGTTTCCGGTGAAGCCCTCGTCAGCGGCTTTCAAAAATCGACTATTATCCTGTGATCTAAAACATTTTCTTGTCTTGAATTCAACTAATTACTAACTCGGTTTTTCCTCCATTAATACAAATTTAATACAAATGTATGTCCCTGTTATATCTCCTAGTTTCATAGACATTTCACGTGTTAGTGGTTTTCTCCCCTTCGTTGAAATAAAATAAAAATAAAATAAAAACTCCCTTCCATTCCCTGGCCGTTTGTATTCTATCCTTCCTAATCCAACGTTATTGATTTTGTCCTTCGTCTACCTATCCCTGGCCCATCTTTTCCTCTCTGCTAGTCAGTCCTTCGCACCGTCCTTATTTCTCTCCTGTCTTCCAGTCTACTTTTTACCTGCCCAATCGATGCCCATTAATATTCTCTCCCTCCAAGCCACGGATCTTCAATATGCTATAAATTCGATGGACGTTGGCGAATTGTGAGTTTTTCGGCTCTTTTCTAGTTTAGAGGTCCCAAAAAAATTTAGAGGTCCCAAAAAAATTGGAGGTCCCAAAAAAGTTTAGAGGTCCCAAGAAAAAATAAAGGTCCAAAATTTGAAAAACGCGCAGATGTTGGAATAATGTACCAGAATTTGGAGTTTTGAGTTTTAAGGCTCTATTGGATGATAAGTGCGGAAATGTGACTTTTTCTAACATTTTTGGCTAAATTTCAATTTTGTCTTTCAGATGGACCCAAATTTTCATAAAAGCAAAATTTCGGCAAAACGGTAATACCTCCATGAATATGCTGTCTCTCGGGCTTAGATGATACAGAAAATATGCATCCCTAGCCTATTTGAAGTATAAAATATACCATCAACACTTATTCTGCTATAAGACCTCAAAACTTTAATTTCTTACACAATTCAAATTCTAGTACATTACTCCAGCATCTGTGCGTTTTTAAATTTCGGACCTCTATTTTTTCTTGGGACCCCTAAACTTTTTTCGGACCTCTAAACTAGAAAAGAGCCAGTTTTTCTATCTTTTTGAAAGCTTGAAATCCATTCCAACATTTTCAGAATCGCCTTCTCTCTATGCTCCAAACGAACCAAAAATCTCGTGAAGTCTTCGAACATGCTACTTATCAAAACCACCGCCGCAGTTTTTAAAAATGACTACATTGAATTCGAAATCCTCGCGTTTCAAGGATCTTTCGATAGAGATATTCACAAACCAATCCAGTTTTTTCTTCCTGCGAATCGATGGATGCAAGTGGACCGTGGAAATGGAATCGAGCGATGGAAATTCACAAGGAGCCATTGCATTGCTCATTTTATGAGCCTTTTCAAAGTCTCGGAGGTCACCTATCTGATCCTTGGTGGCCTTTGCCAAGTACCGTATCTGGATACTGTCAAGCAAATCTTCCCAAGATGTTATACGCTTAAAATCGGTAAAAATTGTTCAGATGAGGTTACAAAGATGGCGATTTTGAAGTTAGCACCCATTGCCAAGGAGGTGGAAATTGGTAAAAATCATATTATCAATGATATCCCCCATTTATGGACAATGCACTTGGAATTTGTGCTTTTGAACGACGAGGAAAGACCACTCAAACTAACATTGGAGGATTTATTGACTCTTAACATTGGCAGTGTACTTATTCTTAATACAAATATCACTGAGAGAGACTTGAACATATTTATGAAGTTATGGATGAAAGGGAGTCATAGATTCTATGCTCCAGAAACTATAAAATTGCATACAACGAATGGATTCAGAATGGATCAAGTCTTCAAAGGAATTCAATATGAAACTGTTCTAAGAGACTATTCATACCAATTGAGACGAGGAGATGGAGAGAAATTGACGATTTTGAATGTGGAAGGTATCATGTTTCAATTTTCATAGTTATTGGTTTTGTATTCTTTGGAATTTTTTTGAATAAACACATTGATCATAACACCCGTCTTTGAATCAGTTTCTTTTTTGTTCTCGCATTCCTAGATTAAAATTATGAACTATCAACTAAACCAAATGAAAAGTATAATAAAAACCCTCCAAAACCCAAAAAGAATCAAGTCTCTAGCTGTTCTAGAAGCCGACATATGGTCATTTGAAGTTTTTGGGAGACGCAGACAGTTAGAGTGTCTCGTCGTCTGCGTCTCGTTTCTTAAACTTTGCATGGATGTATTTAGTCTTCTGAGACAGCTAGAAAGATGGGTTTTTGAGCCAATTTAGAGTGTTTTCCCTATATTTCCTTTTCCAACTCTCTGGGAATTTTTGAAGAAAATTTTGGAGAATGTAACCAGAATTTTTGAAAATTACTAGTTTTTCAGATATTTGTTGATTTCTGAAAGTCATTTAAAATCTTTTAAAATTAACCGAATCCTACGTTTTTGTACATATCATTGAACGGCACTGTATACTGATCGTCATCTGACTGGATACATATGACTGACTGAAATTCTGGGGTCGTTCTCACCCACTTTTTTGATGCTGTCATCCTAATGACCTCTCCTTGGGTACAACTATCCTCCCTACTAATCCGCCTTTTCTCCCAATTCACTTGGTCCTTTTACCCGTCCTTCCTAGGGGCATTTGGTGGATGTTTACCTGCCCACCGCTCTCCCAACCCCATCACTCTCCATTCTCTGTTTCATTTCTGTCATCTAGTCACTCGCCAGTCGCCGTTCGTTCGTTTTATCGACTTTGGGTCCATCCAATCTTGAGTCGTTCTCACTTTCCCTAGAGCACATTTGCAAATAGCGGCTTGCTGTTTGTGTTCTGACATTCCTGGAGGGATTTTTCTTGGTTATTTTCCATAAAAATAAAAAAAAAAGAAGAAAAATGCTCCAAATCTCAAACAGAACCAAGTTTCTAGCTGCACTAGAAGCCGAGATACGGTCATTTGAAGTTTTTGAGAGACGCAGACAGTTAGAGTGTCTCGTTGTCTGCGTCTCGCCGCTTAAACTTTGAATGGCTGTATCTCGGCTCCTAGACCACCTAGAAAGATGGTTCTTGAACCATTTTAGAGCATTTTCTTTATATTTCCTCCCTCTTTGCTGAAATTCCCCTAAACAACACTTGCAGTGTCCCTATTCATGACATTCTCCAAGATTATGTTGCCTTTTTTCTGAAACAAACAAGAAATAGAAGGAAAATCCTCCAAATCACAAAAAGAATCAAGTTCCTACCTGTTCTTGGAGTTGAGATATGGTCATTTGAAGTTTTTGAGAGACGCAGACAGTTAGAGTGTCTCGTCGTCTGCGTCTCTCTTATGAAACTTTGTCTGGCTGTGTCTGGGCTCTTAGAACAGCTAGAAACATGATTTTTGAACCATTTTGGACGATTTTTGCTATATTTTCCCCTTCTTTAATGGAGTATCCCTAGAGCGCATTTGCGTTGAGTAGTACTGGTAATCTTGATGTCCGCTCCCGGAGGGCCAGTTAGCTTCCCTCGAGCAACACTTGCGATTAGCCTTTTTGGTCATTTGCTCTATGCCATTCCTCTACCATACAACGTTGGGGATTTTCGTCTAGCCGCTCTCTAGCAGTCGTCTGTCCGTTTTATCGATTTTGGGTCTTTTCTGCCGCTCATTCTCTCATTTATACTATTTTTCAGTCTGCATTCTATCTGCCAAACTCATGCCCATCTGTCTGCTCTCTCTTCCCATCGAGGAAGTTCTAATGTCTATGGATATTGGCGATTTGTGAGCTTATATTTTTTTTTTCAAACTAAACTCAACTCAAAAAATTCCAGAATCGCCTTTTCGGTATGCTCAAAACGAACCAAAAATCTAGTAAAAGCTTCCAATCGAAAAATGCACCGAATTGAGGTTTATGTTGAAGAAAGATACATTCGTTTTAGAGTAATGGAACGAAATTACTATGAACTCATTTCTTTTCACTTTTTCGATTCCTATATCGAATTGAACCGCAACGATTTAGTCGAGGTTTGGAGGAAACAAGATTTCACTCAGATTGCGCATTGGATTGCTCATTTTATGAGCATTTTTGATGATTTAATAGTTGATTACTTGAACATTGTCACTGCCAGCCTATATTATCTGGATACCGTAAAGCAACTCATTCCAAAATGTCGCAGACTTCATATCAATGAAATCTGTTCCAGAGCGTTTACAAAAGACGCTTTTTGGAAATTATATCCCATTGCCGAGAGGGTGGTAATCTATAAGAATATATTTGACGATGAGACTGATAAATCCAAAATATTGACACTGAATTTGAAAGATTTGAGTTTCAAAGATTGGGAAAACTCATTCAAACTGGAGCTAGATGATTTATTGACCCTCAACATTGCTCGTCTATCAATGGCAGCTACAACTATCACTGAGAAAGCATTGAACAGATTTCTGAAACTATGGATGAAAGGAAGTCGTACTTTCTACCGGCCGAAAAATATAAGATTGCAGTTATGGAACGTAGTAAATCGTGAAGAAGTTTTAAGAGGAATCAAGTATCAAATTGTGAGTAATCGGCCCCAGTTGAAACGGGCAGATGGCAAGGAGGTGTTGATTTCGATTCGAGGGAGATGTGTGATTTTCAAATTTCAAGTATAATTCTTTGTTTTCTGTTGTTGTCGTTATTGTCCCCCCGGAGCACATTAGCACAGTACCTTGCCATTTTTGCGCTTCTTGAGGAATTTTAGGCTATTTTCTGAAACAAACAAGAAATAGAAGAAAAATTCTCAAAAACACAAAAAGAACCAAGTTTCTAGCTGTTCTATGAACCGAGATACGGTCATTTGAAGCTTTTGAGAGACATAGACAGTTAGAGTGTCTCGTCGTCTGCGTCTCGCTTCTTAAACTTTGACTGCCTGTAACTCGGCTTCCAGAGAAGCAAGAAAGATGGTTCTTGAACCATGTTGAACTATTTTTGCTATACTTTCTTCCTCTTTAATGAAATTTCCCTTAACAACACTTGCATTGTCCTTATTCATGACATTCTTAAAGATTATTTTGTCTTTTTTTTTGAAACAAACAAGAAATAGAAAAAATATATTTCAAAACACAAAAAGAACTACGTTTCTAGCTGTTCTAGAAGCCATCTTGTACTATTTTCTCTATACTTTCTTCCTCTTTAATGAAATTTCCCTAAAGAAGAATTGCATTGTCCCTATTCATGATATTCTTCAAGATTATGTTGTCTGTTTTCAGAAACAAACAAAAAATTGAAAAAAAAACCTTCCAAAACACAAAAAGAACCAAGTTCCTACCTGTTCTTGGAGTTGAGATATGGTCATTTGAAGTTTGGGAGAGACGCAGACAGTTAGAGTGTCTCGTCGTCTGCGTCTCTCCTTCTAAACTTTTACTAGCTGTTTCTGAGCTCCTAGAATAGCTATAAAGATGGTTTTTGAACCATCTTTTACTATTTTTGCTATACTTTCTTCCTCTTTAATGAAATTTCCCTTACCAACACTTGCATTGTCCCTATTCATGACATTCTTCAAGATTATGATATCTATTTTCTCAAACCAATGAACAATTGAAGAAAAATCCTGCAAAACACAAAAAGAACCAAGTTTCTAGCTGTTCTAGAAGCCGAGATATGGTCATTTGAAGTTTTCGATAGACGCAGACAGTTTGAGTGTCTCGTCGTCTACGGCTCGCCTCCTAAACTTTGACTGCAGAAATTCAGAAATTCAGAAATTCAGAAATTCAGAAATTCAGAAATTCAGAAATTCAGAAATTCAGAAATTCAGAAATTCAGAAATTCAGAAATTCAGAAATTCAGAAATTCAGAAATTCACAAATTCACAAATTCAGAAATTCAGAAATTCAGAAATTCAGAAATTCAGAAATTCAGAAATTCAGAAATTCAGAAATTCAGAAATTCAGAAATTCAGAAACTCCGAAATTCAGAAATTCAGAAATTCAGAAATTCAGAAATTCAGAAATTCAGAAATTCAGAAATTCAGAAATTCAGAAATTCAGAAATTCAGAAATTCAGAAATTCAGAAATTCAGAAATTCAGAAATTCAGAAATTCAGAAATTCAGAAATTCAGAAATTCAGAAATTCAGAAATTCAGAAATTCAGAAATTCAGAAATTCAGAAATTCAGAAACTCAGAAATTCAGAAATTCAGAAATTCAGAAATTCAGAAATTCAGAAATTCAGAAATTCAGAAACTCAGAAATTCAGAAATTCAGAAATTCAGAAATTCAGAAATTCAGAAATTCACAAATTCACAAATTCACAAATTCAGAAATTCACAAATTCAGAAATTCAGAAATTCAGAAATTCAGAAATTCAGAAATTCAGATATTCAGAAATTCAGAAATTCAGAAATTCAGAAATTCAGAAATTCAGAAATTCAGAAATTTAAAAATTCTGAAATTCAGAAATTCAGAAATTCAGATATTCAGAAATTCAGAAATTCAGAAATTCAGAAATTCAGAAATTCAGAAATTCAGAAATTCAGAAATTTAAAAATTCTGAAATTTAAAAATTCTGAAAGGGGGACCCAGGGACCCAGGGACCCAGGGACCCAGGGACCCAGGGACGTATTCAGAAATTCAGAAGTTCAGAAGTTTGAGGATTCAGAACTTTAGAATAACGAAATTCAAAAATTCAAAAATCCAAATCTTCAAAAATCAACAAACCAAATATAACTCCAAAATCAAAAATCCGAAATATTCTCCAACCAATTTCAGCCAAAAAATAAACCAACAAATCCAATAAATTGCTAATTCGATTTTTTCCGAAAATTCCAATTTCTTTGCCCGGCCAAAAATACACTAAAAATCGTTGAATTCCAAAAAAGGACCATAAAACGTTCATAGCTTCTTCCATCGTCGAATTCAAAGAATTCACAATTTGAATACCAAAAAATCGATATGGAAAATCGTTCCAGAATGAAATTCCAACCAAATAAGACTGCAAATCCAAATCGTCAATATAAAGTTTTTAGATTGCAGTTTTTTGATAATTTTGATAATTGAAGTGTCGTTTTTATCTTTTTCATTGAATTCAACTTGGAATCAAAAGAAAGATTTCATTTTAAAAAAATTTTTCAGAAAAAAAATTATTTCCACCTGTCCTAACATGAAATTGAGTCTAGTGTTGTGTTGACGACAAACATGGAATTATGTTTTGGGCATTATTGCGAGTGATATCAGAAGAAAAAAAATTAAAGGTTTCTAGGTTTTTGGAATCGAAATATTACGATTTTTTCGAGTTTTCGGGATTTTGTGAAATTATAGAAATTATTCTTTTTTTTTGAATTTTTGAAAGCTATGAAAATGTATCAAAGTCAAAGTACATGGGTTGCGTTCCCCAGTTTGTGATTTTTTTTTCAAAAATTCAAAAACTGTAAAAAAATTTTCTGGGTCCTGTCCTAATTTTTTGGATTTCTAGGTCATGACCTAGTTTTTGGATTTCCTAGGTCATGACCTAATTTTTCGGATTTTCTAGGTCTTGTCCTAGTTTTTGGGTTTCTAGGTCAGAAATTTTGGTTGGTTTTTCTAGGTCATGACCTAATTTTTTGGATTTTCTAGGTCATGACCTAATTTTTTTGATTTTCCAGATAATGATTTAATTTTTGGATTTTCTAGGTCATGACGTAACTTTTTGGATTTTCTAGGTCAAGGCATTAGTAGTGTTCAAAATGAAATCGTCTCGAAAAATTCTTCGAAAATTTCTCGAAAAATTCCTCGAGAAATTCCTCGAGAAATTCCTCGAAAAATTGCTTGAAGTCGTGTCGAAAGGACACACTGGTGATGAGCTAAAAATTCAAATCTAGGGTCTGACCTAGAAACGGGAATCTAGGTCATGACCTAAAAATTGAATCCTAAAGCATGATTCAAAAGTGGAATCTGGGTCGTGAAAAAAGGTCTGAACGGTTTTTCAGGTTTTCAAAGTTGACTATTTTTTGCTGGAATAATCTGAAAAGGATCTTTGTCTGGTACCGTATAGTTTGTAGTTTATTCACATCAAAAACCCAAAATCCAAATTATCATTCAGTGTTCCTTGAAACTCGACTAGACAGTGATGTTGGAATGTTATTGTCTACGATACAGTCCCAATGGGAATAATCTGGGGACATAGTAGTTTTCTGATTTCTTCATTCTTATACTAAAAATGGCCACCAACCAAATCCAAGACTTTGGCGTTAGATCCGATTCACTCGATGACTCAATAGTGAGTCAAATCGAACGTGGATGTACTTGTTTTGGCATGTTCACTAACGCTTGTCTCTTGCCGATTATCATATTTCGATCACCTCAAGATATCGGCGTTTATAAGTTTCTTATGATGTACATTGCCGTTTTTGAGCTGTTCTTCGGATGGTTGGAATTGATGACAGTGCCTGAAATGTTCACGGAGGGATCGGCGTTCATTGTGACAATTGATCCGGATAACGCGGTTTTGCCGGATGGAGCTTTGCAGATTTCAATTTGTAAGCTAGCTTTCGCTCAATTATCTCTGCCCCTTCAAAAAATATCAAACATCTGTCCACTGATAAAACATTTGCCATAATATCACCAGCATTTTCCTAATTTGCAAAACTTTTATAGCTCTTCTAGAAACCTCAAAATGAATTTACAAAAAAAGTTACAGTAATCTACTGCGGCTCATTTGCCACCTCCTTGGCGATCTTTGGCGTCCAGTTTGCCTATCGCTATGAAGTCCTTCGAGGGTAATTTCCTCTCCTAAACCACGTCGAAAATGTGATTCTAAGTTTAGAAACACACCGCGTACATTGTACAGTTTCTTTAACTTTGTATTCTGGGGTGGAATCCCACTGATCGTCGCTTTGCTGTGGACCCTATCATGTTGGATTTTCTTGGGACGAAATGAGTATGTAGATATGGTTATGAGGTTTGTTGTTCATTTGAATTTTTAAAAACATTTTGGAATTCAGACAAGACTCTTTCCCGAGCAACCTGGAAAACAAGACAATCGGCTTTGTTGGAATTTATTTCTATCCCAAACTTCTAGATGGGTCTACAGTAATCAATTGGGATTCTTTAATTGGGATGGCTCTCTGTACTTGTATTCTGGTAAGGCATTAGATTACAGTAATACCTGTATTAGACAGACCGGTTCTTCTATTGTTCCAAGGTCCCTTTAGAGGGTCATTTTACTACAGGAGGGCTTCAATTAGAGGGATGCACTTCCATTTTTCAAAATTCATGAAAATCAAGTTTTCGAGCAAATAATTGTTTAAAAAAGGCCAGACATCAAAAATTTCAAAATTTTCATTTTTTCTTAAAATATGTGAATCTGAAGTACAAGTATATATACCTACTTGAAAATCTGAAAAAATCATTTCATCGGCAAAAAAATGCACTTTTTTTGACCACTGCATTTTGCTGTCGCCGCGTTGCTTCATATCACGAAACCACACACTCTTCAACGTGTGCGCGCGCGGTGTAAGTGGTTGTGCGCGGAACTGTCGTTCATGAAGTCAAGGGTTCGATTCCTTCTCGTGGTTTTCTTTTTTTTCAGCTTTTTTAACATCATTTTATAAAATAGAAATGGGGAAACAGATACTATTTTGCATGTTTCATAATTTTTGCTAGTACGATCCAGTTAATTGGCGTTGTTATTCTGAAACTTGCGACCACCACAGCGTCGAATACAGCTAAATTTACGACACTTATTTTCTGTTTTTTTTTCGCATTTTCGCCTGCACTTCGATAATGAGGTTTGTCACTTGTTGTGCGTGTGGAGACAAAGTTCTGAGAAAAGAAGCAACCAAAGTCCCATCAAATGATAATCAGAGAGAAAAATGGTCGGAGATTCTGGGCGGAGCTTTCCGAAAAAACTGTGAAGCAGTTCGTTGTTCATACATCTGTTCGGTTCATGTTTCAAATGGAACGGGCAGATTCAAATTTCCTAATCCAGTGGGTAACTAAATCGGTTCTCAAATCATCGAGAATACAATTCACAGGTTGCCTGGAATCATCCACCAGAAGAAGCGCTTGATCATTGGGTATGGAAGAGTAATTTCGTGGGATCAGAAGAGACGCAGAGTGTGCCTTCAGATCCGAGTTCCGAGGTATCCAAAAAAGATGAAGATTTAAAAATACAATTTTATTTATTTCAAACAAAAATAAAAAAGAAAATACAAATAAAATTCATGTAGAATACTTAAAAACGAAAAAAACAACAACACGAAATTACAGTATGCCCCGACCGGGAGATCATGAAGAGTGCCGATTTCTTAGTTGCCAATTCGAATTTCTGCTTTTCAGAAGCTATTTTTTGCTTTTGAAACACATTTTCTTGAGTTGGTTCATAAAGATAGGCACGAATTCGTTTCATTTCTGAGATTAGAATGATTTTAGAGTATTTTAACATAAAAAGAAAAGCGACGGTATTTCTATCGGGAAAAGCAAAATGATCGCAGTCCTTATGAAAATATATAGACGACTATCGAAATGATGAATCAATTGAACATTATAATTGCGAAAAACTGTATATTTTGAACGAAATTTACACTAATTCGATAAGAACAAGGTTTTAAGTATTAAGAATTGCGAAAAATTGACAAAAAAAAACCGCAAAAAAAAAACAAAAAAAGAATAAAAAGTAGTTTGCGCGGGCGATTGCGCGCTTTAGGTGCGAACACCGCGACGGCAAAATACACAGCCCTGAAAATTCCCCCGAAATTTTTGCTGTCTGGCCCCCTTTAAACAAATTTCTTGGAAATTCTGGAATTTCTGGAATTTTATTTCTTGAAAACGTTTTCGAGGAAGCACCCTATTACAGGGGCCCATCTCGTAGTATCCTTCTATTGAAAGGAGCCTAATTTTGAAGTGTCCCTTCTAATACAGTTTTTACGGTATTCAAAAATCTTACATTTTTTAGTTTGGCTCTGAAACTCTTATGCTATACTTCGCCTTCAAATCATATCTTATCACCAAAACTCTAATGACATCTACCTGCTCCACAAGCTTCCGACGCCTCCAATGGCAACTATTCTACGCTCTCATTTCTCAAACAATCATTCCAATTCTCTTTATGCAAATCCCATTATCCATTCTTTATGTGACCCTGTTCCTAAATATTTCGATCCCACTGATCGGAAAACTTCAAGCTTTCACAATCTCCCTGTATTTGGCTACCGATGCTCTACCGACTATGCTCATCATTAGACCATACCGGGAGACTATACTTGGTAAAAGAATAATATGTGCAGGGTGATTGGGTTACGGTATTCACTTTCACACGTTTCAGGATTCTTCGCGTGCTTCAAAAAATGCTGCTGCGTGAAAGTGGGACCAACCACTCAAGCCGGAACTGAGACAGGAATTTCGATGAATAACTTTTCTTCCAGATATGCTGTTCCTTAAATTCCAAAATGTCAAGTGTTAATAAACAAAATTTAATAACCTTGGTGGAAGTGATGTTTCGTTTGATTTCTTATCAGTGACCGCAGAAAATGCCGAGTACAAATGCCAAGTACATCAAGACCGAAAAGTGCCAACAATTCTCTAGTCATGAAACTTTCTCTCCTCTTATTGTTGCCGTGTTCTGTATATTCTTATTTTCTGGACCCTTTGAGAATATTTAGTACTCCAAATGCTCCAAATTATCCAGTAGAGAGAAGTTCCAGAATTTTTATAGTCTCAAATAGTCCACTAGATGTGCTGGGTAATTTGGGCGTGTATGTTGGGACGCAGGTAAAAACGTAAGTTCTAAAAAAGTTACCGTGAAACCTGTATTTGTAAGGCACCTTTAATAAAGGGGTCTCTCTAATAGAAGAGCCCCTGAAAACCGAAAATTTGCTTCCAAGGTTAAAAAAACACTGACTTTTCTCTTTATAAAACCGTTTCCAGAGGCGCCACCTTAGCCCTACCCGGACCAACAGGCTCTCTGACCCCCACTTATTCCTTCTGAAGACAATTCAACTCTACTTATTGTACAAAACGGCTCCAAAAACTGCACAGGATATTTATACATAACAGATGACGCCAATACAAACGTCTTTCCTTTATCCAACAATCGTCAAGAATATAATTTCCAACCAGGGACCAATTTATACTTTTCATTGGATTATAAAAATGACTCTATTGATTACCCATGTGCTCAAAATGTGTATATCGGTGACAATGTGTCATTTAGAGGATACGTTGGGCTGCCAGAAGAAAATGGTCAACTATTTTTTGATAGTGGAAGTATACCTGGGTTGGTTTGATTCTGTTTTGTTTCTAAACTCCATGAATTCTAGTCTTACCAACTACAATCAACTTCAACTCCCCACGAAAATTTTCCATTTCAAAACCAATGGAAATGATGTGAAATATCAATTGTCTTATGGTTTTGCAGACTTGTTATCCACTAATTTTTCTGGATTAATGACCACAAAAAGCTTTCCGACTGGTTATTACACTCAGTATTCGTTAATTGGTGCCGGCAATTTTAATAATGATAATTTGACATTGTTCATGATGGTAAGTTATAGAGTACCGGACAAGTAAAAGAAGGTCCCTTTAATAGAAAGCCCGTCCTTGATATTTTAGTTTATAGTTGACGCTTTTTCACTGAAAAAGTCAGAATTTTGGTCAGGTACTGTAGAATCTCACAATCTTTTTTTCCAGTTTCGATTCGACTCAACCCAAAATTATCAAGTGAATGTAACACTGACAGATTTGGATAATCCGTATTTTATTCCAATTTTGTTTCCAATGAATTCTTCGAAAGATTTCATTATCCAATCTACAAGCCCATTCCACCAAATCCGAATCGCCTCCCATGGACCATATACTGCTCAATTTCGAATCCAAAATTTGGATCCCAAATCTACAACTGGGGCTTCAAGTACAACTACAGTAATCCCTAGCACTAGTACTGTAGCAACAACTACAAAAAGTTCTGGAACATTTAGGACGTCCTTGGTTTTGTTTGTGGCTTTTCTGTTGAGATTTTTGTGACCATCCTAAATAAATTTCTCTCTTTTTTTAAATTTTTCAAAATGCATTTTTCGAGTTTTGACCTAATTAATTTTCTTCATGCTCCTTGTTTGTAGCTTTGTTCGAGACCAACCAACAAGCACTTCAAATGAATCAAAAAGTGATAGAAATGGTTCCAGGAGAGATAAAGACGTATTTCAGTGTTGATGAGGTCGGAGACAACCAAAATAGTCACTCTGATGCTGCCAACTTTCCAACAGAATTTTTGAATAAAATGACTCCATCAGGATTACCACCACACAAATTGGAGCTGAAAGTTGGTGCATTGGTCATGCTCCTCCGAAACCTTGAAGTTCGAAACAGACTGTGCAATGGTACACGATTGGTTGTTCGAGAAATGGAAGAGCGGGTTCTCAGATGCGCTTTTATTTCGGGAACAAATGAAGGTGGAGACGTTTTGATTCCAAGAATCAAACTATCATTCGATTCGGGGATTCCATTCGTGCTCCAAAGACGTCAGTTCCCAGTAAGACCTGCCTTTGCTGTGACCGTCAATAAGGCTCAAAGCCAAACATTCAATCGTATCGGACTGCTTCTGGACGCTCCGATTTTTGCTCATGGACAGCTATATGTTGCATTGACAAGAACAAGAACTAAGGATGGAATCAGAGTTTGGGCTCCAGAAAAAGTCATGCATAACATTGTTTACAAAAACATCCTGTAGCTCCATTTCTAGCTTAAATTTTCCAACCCATAGCCATTTTTCATAACTATCCTGTGGAAATCGCGGCGTAGCCGCGAATTTTCACTGGTATATAGTACCAGACAAAAATAAATATGCATCTAGTGGAAACTTTGGAAAGTCAAGAATGCTTGACCTTTCTATTAATAGTCTATTTTGAAGTCCTTTAAAAAGTAGTCCATAATTTTTCAATTTCCCTGAAAATTTCAGAATATACTAAACAAAACAAAAGCTTTTTTTGTATTATGATTAACAACTTTTTTTTAAAATCCAACCAAGCGTGCTAAGCGGCTAATTTTCAGAGATAATTTTAGCATTTCCGGCACTGTATTGGTTACATACGGCATATCTCATCAAAATGGATTTTTTCAAAAAAGTTGTCAGTTACAAAATTGAAGTTCTATTTTTGAAATTTTCCAACAAATCGAAAAGTTCTGAACTACTTTTGCAGTACTCCAAAGTTCATTTTTTTCCCCACTGAAAAAGGGAAAATATGTATATATATTTCTGTCTGTTACTGAAAAATCAAGGAAGTGCAGAAAACAACTATTAAAATTTTTTTTAGTTAATTTTAGGAAGCTAAGAAAATTCTGAAATTCCACAAAAGAATCACAAATTTCAGAAGTTCCAGGACATTTGAAGTACAGTGTTTGCTTTAAAACCAATACATGCACATTTAGCTCAATCATCTTGGTTTCTATGAGAGATATCAAAATTATGTCTTCTGATAAAACATAGATGATAAGATGATGAATAATTTATCAGTTGACAGATTTTTTTATGTCCCATACGAACCGAGGTAATCGAGCTCAAAGTGCACGTAAAGGGTATACTTCAATTAGAGCGAGCACCTAGGTTTTCAGAGAAAATTCAGATTTCCAAATGTCCAGATGTCTACCTACTTCCTGTTGTCACACGTCACATGGGATCTTCGTCACAGAAAAAGATGATGGAGAGGAGTAAAAAAGATCGAACACAAAAAAAAATTAATTACTGATTACCTAGATGATGAATCGTCAAAAATTAGGTGGCATTATATTCTTCTTCTCAGAAAATTCTAGACAATAATTTTTTTGGAGTAGGTTGTTCCAGTCTTCAAGATGGTCTAGGCCGTAAAACCTGTAATAGATGGCTCCTAACTTTTGACTTTATGCCAAAATATCTCGATTCACGTCAAAGATATGAAAAAGTTGTTAACTGATAAATTGTTCATAATAATATCAAAAATATTTTATCAGTTAACACATTTTTGATATCTCTCATACGGACCGAGATAATTGAGCTCAAACTTAACATTATGGGGGCCTTCTATTACAGGTCTTACGGGAAGCCAAGTATATTCAAAGGCCATGCTGAGCAATATGAATCGTGTGGCTGGTTTGGCTTGGTTACTCCCCACAAAAAATGACCTAGAAAAATCCTAGGCCATAGCAAGTAGACTAAACTCTATCTACTCTAAATCCCCCACGGGGTGTCCTTGTTTTTCATTTTCTCTCATATTTTCTCTTTTATTTTTCCCATATTTCATGAAATCCGTTAATTAGTCATATGCCTTTTGAATCAGAATTTTACTTCAGACTACTTTCAAACTTTATATGACAGCTCTTGGTCCCTCTAGAGCCGCAATACGACTATAGACATCACTAGATTACAAAAAGTACATATGACTACTGTTTCTTGTACTCATTTTTCACTTTTTAAAGGTGGGGGGACAGGAGATTTTACCGGGGATTTTTGGGGCCAGAGTATGCATTCTACCGTGACGGTGTACAACGCTTAATGTCACTCTGCGTACAGCTGTCGTCCTCGCCTTTATGTATGCAATCGGGTGACCTCTTCCTCTTTGCCCGTGTAGCTCAGTCGGTAGCGGCGCCGCACCCTCAGTCCTCGTCCCACACGTTCAACTCCTCGAGAGGCATATTTAAACGAAATTTCGAGAACATTATTTTTTCATGTCCCCCCACCTTTAAACTTTATTTTCATTCATTCATTTGATTTTCACCACGTTTCTCATGTTCCTTACCCCTTAAAACCATATACTAGACTCTGCATCTCCTCTTCTCTTATACTCTCTCCTCTTACTTATATAGGGAACACTTCCTTCTCCTTTTCCTTCGCCTTCCCCCCTTTTTCCCCTTTTTCTGCTCAAACAAGTAGAACACTGTCCTCGTGTAGTAAACGTGGCCGCGTGGCCTAATGGATAAGGCACCAGACTTCGGATCTGGGGATTGTAGGTTCGAGTCCTGCCGTGGTCGAAATCTTTTTGCACTTTTTTATTTGTACTGTGGAAGATGGAGAATTGTTTTATTGTAGTTTTTGTATGCTGATTGTACTTTTTAGGCCTAATTTCGGCATCAAAAATCTAACCTACTAATTGGTCACATTTTCTTCATATTTCTGCGATATTTACTATGATTTCAAAGCCTGATTCACTATTGTTATTCCCAAATCCACATCCTTTTGGGACCTGTCTCATATGATTCGAGTCAAAAGCCGGCTCTATTTTTATACAACTAGATCGCATCGCTTTTTTATTTCAGTTAGAAATTCGTCTCAAAAAATGGTGATCCGTAATCTGACCGCCGTCTGGATTCTAAGCCAAACAGCATCGTACGACTTCGATGATACATTGGCTGGTGGTCTGGTATCTATTGTGAGTTTAATGGCCTAAGATTTTCCTAGGCCATTTCGTACCGGTCGATTGGATATAGCGTGTTTTCAGTTGATTTTAGGCCATATTCAAGAGTCTGTGGCTTTCAAGCTACCGACCGCTTTGAAAATTTTGGATGGTGTAAAACAGACCTAGATTGAAAACTTTGAATTCCCAGAATATTTTGAAAATTCCTAGTTTTTCAGTTATTCACCGATTTCTGAAGGACCGGTTTCTGTACTGAAAACGTGAGAGCGTCCTTCAGAAATCGTCCAATTTTGAAAAACTTGGAGTTTTTAAAAACTTCTGTGAATACAAAGTTTTCCATCTAGGTATGTTTTACAGGCTCCCAATTTTTCAAAGTCATCGGAAACTTGACAACCGAGCTCCAGACTTCTGAAAATAGCCGAAAATAAACTGAAGATACTGTAAAGAACTGAATCATGATTCCAGGAATGCATCACTGGATTCCTATTGCTCAGCGCTGTTATCTATGGATGTCAAACCCTTCCACCACTGAAAAGCCCATTCGGATTGCTCATGCTTAATCAGAACGTCACCCAACTGTTGGCATGCATTGACAGTGGCGCGTTTTTCTTCTTTGGAGTTTTGTTGTAAGTAGTGGCCTAACTTTTTTGGGGAAAACCTTGGTCATTTAAAGGAACAGCAAGATTGTGATGAAAAATAGCCATGTGTTTGGATTTGTGAGTGTTATGTTGCTTCCGGTGATCCTTGGAAGCTTTTTCCTGATGTCTGTGAACAGATTGTGTGCTTCTACGATGATTTTTGCCTACAAGAGAATTTTCACGTGAGTTTGATGACCTAGATTTTTCTACACAGGTCAAATGCGAACGGATCCGTTTCGGTGTCCACTAGGTTTTCTATCCGTAACGGGTCCGTCACGGACAGTTTCGCGAATCTGAGTTCGCGAACGGATCCGTTTTTTCAACATTCGCAATCGGACAAGATACGGAGTTCGCGTACGGACCGAATACGGATGCAGCTGGAGGTCGAGAGATAGTTCCCTTGCGCATTCGCGAACGAATCCGGTACGGATGGCCGAGTTGTGAGGGACTAGCTTTCTCTTACCTCTTCCATCATATTTTTGCATCATTTATTTGCATTTTAAACCTATTTTTTGCCGTTTTCTCTCACTTTTCCTGGCAAATATGTTGATTTTTGACAATGATTTTTTTTCGAAAGACGATTCTACAAGGAAAAAAGATTTGTAACACAAATTTATTCCTCGAAACACAGGTTTTGTTATAGGTATCACTTAACCTTTTCGTGAGCAAAATGACCGAAAATGGTTGATTCGAGGCTCGCGTTTGCTCCAGGAAAGTTGCTTGACGAATGTAAGTATAAAATACCCTAATTTTCGAAACAATGACTTTTCCACTTTTCAGCAATGGACATCTATAGAGCAATCCGATTCCAACGTTAAAAACGAGAAAAACATTGGAACCCAAAAGCAAAAAAGGATATAAGTAATAGGTGATCAGTATGCTACATGTTCTGAAAGATTCCCAAATTTTTTGCAGGTCTCTTTTCGTTTTGGATGGTCGTTCAACAACCCAAAAAAGCAGGATTTTCATAGTTTTTCGAACTTTCTTGTACGTTTGATTGTTGTTTCTTATATGTTTTCTTAATAAAGTTCCGAATACTAAGTCTACAACTATCATGAAAACTCAGCAAAAAATAATAGAAACTGAAAAAAGGAACGGCGGGGGTTTTCAAGAAATAAGTTGCAAACGGATCCGTTACGGATTCGCGTACGGTCCGTATACGATTCCTATTTCATCCGCGCGCGAATGGCGGAGAATCCGTAACGGATTGTTCGCGAATCACCTGTGTAGGTCATGGCCTAGGATTCTAAGACTCCAAGAATTTCAGAAAACACAAAATCATTACATTCATTGTCTCCATTTGGTGCTTTTCACTGGTTTTCTGTGCCTCGATTTTCGGTGCAAGTATGCCTAGAAATAGCAAGTGCGCTCCACCGAAAAACTTTCAGGAGATTGTAAATTCGAATTCTACACCTACGGATGGTTTTTTATGGCGCCCAATACACTGAGAAATGCAATGATTTGGTCGTAACGTACAATTTTGGGGTCCAGGTCACTTTGACGAGCTTGATTATGGTCTCCGACGTCGTCACTTTGTTTGTGTTGGTTTGTTTGAGAGTTAGTATTCATTTTCTTTTTTTTTACTAATTGGGTCATCCGACTTTTCGAATGTGCAGCTCATAAGTTCTAGTCCCAGAGGAGCTTCAATGAGCGAAATAACAATATAATTTTTGTCAAAACCTGTATACCGTAAAACCTCTAATAGAACGACACCCGGATCGTCCACTTTGAGCCTATATATCTCATTTTCTGTGAAAGATATCAAAAAGTGGCTAACTAGTAAAATGTTGCTGATATCCTGATAAACATTTTACTAATTAACCACTTTTTGATATCTTTCAAAAGAACTGAGATATATAGAGCTCAAAGTGGACCATCCGGGTGTCGATCTATTAGAGGTTTTACGGTATATAGATATATAAAGTTAGGCCACCACTTCAAAATGGTAAAAAAAAAAGATAAAACAATGTCAGCAACGACACTCCGAAACTCCGCATTGAAGAAATTTCGAGGAACTCATTCCTCGAAAAAATCCTAGAGAAACTTTTTTCGAGGAATT